AGGGTGTGAAGTGTGCAGAGATGGACAGGGAGGAAATCTGAGTGATGGAGGTTTTGTGTGTGGTGAGAGCGGTATGGAGTTGATGTCTACTGGTGGAGGCTGATGAACCATATCCCTCTGTTCATCTCTACTCTTGAGAGCACAAGCCTGTTAGAACTTCAGAGATCATCCTGGTAATTTCTGACACTGTCAGATCAACTGACTACTAGACTAGCCCTGGTTTCTAATTTGAAATGTTTCCAAAGAAGATTCCTCTTTCAACCTTTACAACCACTTGAATTTTGGACTGTACCCAGTGCCTGCACAATGTTCACTTTGTCTAGCCCAAATTCTCCCAGCTGTGGTCCGAGCCCTTAGAAGAATGAAACCTCTGTGAGGTAACAACTGCCTTGGTGGCATGAGAAAGGCAGCTCTGGGTGGTCTTTGAGTGTTACATGAGGACAGGGGTGCTATGGCCCAGGTTCTAGTGAGAACACATAGGACTACGCGCTCTCTGGTTTTACCAGAAACCTTCATAGGTATCTTAATCCAGGAAGAACAGGCCCTGTATACTACGGTTGGCTTCCAATCCTTAGGCATGCTAGGACACAGTGGACATCTTGAGCACACGTGTTCTCTTTTCCGAACTGGTCCACAGGCGTGCTGAGGGTCCAGAGGGTACCCGGCAGGTATTGGTGTTGGGGTGTGGTTCTTGTGTCATTTGGTCAGAAGTCAGTTAAATGTACCTTCAGATTAAATCCAGCAGAACAAAAGAATTCCTGAAAGGCTTGAGAGAAGAGCCATTTTAGGGGAAAACCATGGGTACTTCTTAGTCTCTTTTTTTAGGGTGAGCAGCACAGTTTCAAGCTTAATGCTGACTCTGCATGTCAATCAGGGCAGCGTGGACTCAAAACATCCTAGGAGAAGTTTTTAAAAGAGTCTCCTGAGAAATCTCAGCAGCCAACTAGTTAGCAAAGTACAAACCCCTCCAACTTGGAGCTGGCAGGCATCCCCATAGGTGAGATGGGCAGGATGGAGAACATGGGGGTCCCACTCTGCCCATTTTCTGGGAGGCGTCACATGCAACCTTCCCTTGGTCCTCTGGAATAGCTCACAGTAATCACTGTTACCACTGATTGAGCATTTTCTATGTCCCACCCTGTAGTATGGGCTTCACATAGGGTATCACAGCTAAGCCCTGCAGTAATAGGATGGGCCAGGCAGGTGTCATTCTCACTCCCACTTCACAGATGAGCCCTGTGGTCACAGGTTCTTCTGAACTGATTTGCGGATTGGACAGAACAGACCAGAGTGCAGTGTGTGGGCCAGAAAATGGGAGGCTGGGGAACTGACCCCCTTTCCCCAAGCACACATGTTAAGAGGCAGAGTTAACACACAGACCTACACTCTGCCCAGCTCACTCCTGTGACGGCTCACCTCCAAGAACCATGGGCGGCACAGGCAGGGCTGCACTCAGAGGCTGTCTATGCCAGGGCAGTAGCTGACACGGGGGGTGGGGTGCGGTGGGGGTGATGCTGGAGATACGGAAACACAAGGGAAGGACGGCTGCCATTTCTGGGCTCTAAAAGAGCCTATAACGTAGGCAAATCAGGATTTTATGTCATCTTGGTGGTTGGAAAACTGGCTGTATGACCGGTTGGGCTGTAAAAATCAAATGAGAGAGGAAGGGAGAGAGTACAGAACTGACTTATTACACCAGGGAATAAAGAGTGTGGAAGGGGAGAGGGAGGAGGGAAAGCACCGACAAGGGAGTAGAGGTGAAGGGGGGGCGCAGCTGGGACAGGAAGAAGCCGATGGTGGCATTCAGCTTTGGTTCTAATTCAACACAGGAAGGAAGGGAGACGACAAAGCCTCATTTATAGCTGCACTTGGACCCGTTCTGTCCAACCCACACCTCAGTTCAGAGCAACTATGACCACAGGGCTCATTTCCACTGCAAATGTCTCTGGCTGTATCTGCGTCTTATCCCCAGGTGACATAAAATGAGAAGTTGTAGGACACTGAGCCAGGGGCAGTCACAGTGGGCTGCCTAGTCATTTTAAGTCAACACAGCCAGATTAAGCAATCAGGATGACCAAATCCGGGAATAAAGAGGACCTAAAGCTTTATGACATTGGCCTGTGGTGTGGTCAAGGCCAGATCTGTGGCTGGAATATTTTTATGGCAATGTGAACCTAATTAAGATCAACAAATGATAAATGGGGTGTTTTTATTTTGCTCTTTTCTTTACTACCAAGTTACATCAGCTCTGTAGCTGGAAACATGCAGCTGCCCAGGTAGGACTTGGGCTATATGCCTCTTTCCTGATGATGCCATACTACCAGCAGGGTGGATCACAAGGGTGGGTTCTACCAAAACACAAAGAAACTCCTCCAGGAGGGGAGAGGAAGGGAACAGAACCCCTCACCCTGCACCGTCACCCTCAAGGCTCAGAGGTTACCCCAGGGGTTCAGACAGGGTTTACAGCATCCAGTCTGGGTTTATGACCCAGACTATCAGACTGTTTCCTCTTCCTTGGGGCGGCCCAAGTCCTGATTGCGTCATTCTGACCTGCCCCAGTTCCTTTAAGGGGGTGTGTGAGCAGCTCCAGGCCCTTGACATGCAAATCACACAGTTTCACTGCTGGTAAATGGTTCTGCAGACCGGCTGAGTAATACCATCCTGCCCAGCTGGAAGTTTATCTAGTGCTTTCTGCTAAATCTGGTTTACACCCTTTTTTTTTTTTTTTTTTTTTTTTTTTTGTGGTACGCAGGCCTCTCACTGCTGTGGCCTCTCCCGTTGCGGAGCACAGGCTCCGGACGCGCAGGCTCAGCGGCCATGGCTCACGGGCCCAGCCGCTCCGAGGCGTGTGGGATCTTCCTGGACCGGGGCACGAACCCGCGTCCCCTGCATCAGCAGGCAGACTCTCAACCACTGCGCCACCAGGGAAGCCCTACACCCTTTTTATTGTTCTCAATACCTTACAAAAGTATGTCCTCAAGTCAGAATGAGTCTCCCTTTCCAGAAGTCTGTTGGATCAGAACATCAAAGATTTAGACTCTAGACCGGATCCAGTCTTTACCAAGACTGAAACCTTTGGGTAATCAACTAACTCAGCTTCTCAGAGCCTCTCTTGTTCTCGTGTGTAAAATGTACCACGGTATTCACACCGGAAATAGTGGTAGAATGAGCTGCTTGCCTCACAGGGATACTGGGAAGATCTAGTAAGACTGCGTGGGTGAGAGTATCTGTGCACTGCTAAGAGCTAAACATAAAGGGCGGCTCCTAGCTACTCTCTTCATTCGAAAGTCATTTTTCACGTTGGGATGCAAAAAAGAATCCCCAACAGAGACCGTCACTTCTGCCCAGCTACCCCTTGGCTGCTCTATAATTCCCAGTCCTGTTTGTAGTTAGAGGGAGGCCATGTTCTGGCCAACCTGGTGTGAGCAGAGGCGATGCGTGTCCCTCCTAGGAGATGCAGTGAAATAGTAAGCACCGCCTCCATCTCTCCCTTCCCTTGCTGTGGCAATCTTGGAAGCTGCGTTATCAGATGGCACAGTTATGAGTTGGAAGAGGGCCGTTGAACTTGCTCTCACCGGATGAGAAATAAGCAAGTAGTGTGTCTAGCTACTAGGAGTTTGAGGGTTACTCTGTGGCAGCAGTACTTAGCAGTCATTACCCCGACTCAGAATGAAAGTTGTGGTTAGGAAGAGACAGGCCACATTCATTTAAGTGACATACACAATGTGATGCCAACCTTGGCTCTCAGGACGTTGCTTTGAGTCAAGAGTTCTATCCATTCTGCTCAAAGCTTATTTTAATTACATATCTCCTCTCCTAGTGGGGATGGGACAAATCCTTCTAGACAAGAAAAATCCCTTTTGTTACAAAATGCATTTATTTCAGCCAGATAAAATTCTCCAACTGCATACATGGGTACATATTATAAGGTCCTTCTTTGATACATGTCCTGCTTACAAGAGCCATTTCTAATTATTAAAATGCATACCAAACAAACATCTTTGTCTCTTAAAATATAATTTAAATAAATTGCTAAGGTATAAGCCGTAAGTCTGGTCATGGATGCGAGCGGAGTGTGATTCTTCAGTGATGAGTCCAGAGCAATATTGGCACAGTGAGATTCCACAAGTCAGCGAGCACCTGAGCTCACCTGCTGATTAACCTGCCGATTATGTGGATAGTTGCTGTTGGGGCATCGAGCTGCCTTCTGTGAAAAAAGTTATGTGCAAAGTATGACGTAGGCAACGTGGAGAGGCCTTTCACAGAATGCAAACGCCATTCACGTAACTTAAGGATGAAAGCTTGGTGAAAGCAAATCTGCTGTTTACACTGCTGGGTATTGTGGCCCCGTCTCACTGGGCACTCAATAAATATCTATTAAATGAAAGTAAGGATAAAAGAATAAGCTGTAGCAGTTGCCTTGGTGCCCATCTGTTGTCAGGATGGGGCTTTAAGGTATGAGCTTTATGGACACACTTTTTTGTTCAGAGTAAATTGGAAGCCATCCCTTTCCTTCTCTTCAAGTTCTTCCTTAGCATTTACAGACTTCTTGCAGAAGTCTGCCAGTATTCGGGGCTCACTGGCTTACAGAAGAGCCCGGCACTCCATACAAAGTCTAGGTTTGTCCCTTGAAGTAAAACGCCTGATTGGCTCAGAAGTTCTAGGATCTGATTTATTCTTCACACCTTTTCTCCTTTTGGCTCCTGTTAATATCCCAAACCCCAAGTAGCTATGGAAACTCAGAGGCTGAGCAGTGTATGTCTTCATGAAATCTCCTTTCACTTTCCGTATCAACTGTTTCCAGGACCATGGCTCCCTCAGGACTTGAAATACTGTAGGTGATCTCTTGACGTTCTGTCCTTCACAGAGTTCTCCACCTGCTCGCTGAAGGTAAGGTTCTTGTTCTAAGGCTGATGCTGAGGAGTTCCCCACAAAGGAAATTCCTGGAAAATCTCTAGCCCCTTTTGATTCTCATACCATCTCTCCCATTCCCCATAAGGCTATGGATGCAATTCTGGAGAGACAAAGGAAAAGTTTCTAAACTCATCCTGGTTAATCATAGGAAGGTGTCCCTCATCAATTGGAGTTAAAACTGGTTCTTCCTTTATGAAGTCGGGGTCAAAATTACTGACGTCTTCTCGGGTTTTCTGTCAAAAAGGAAACAAGGAAAATTTCAGATTCTATGCACTTGAGTTTTAGTCATCTTCCATGGGACTTGGCCCATTTCAATGAGTTCGGAGGACTGCCCTGCAGCTCTCTCGGTAGTGTTATTCACAGTTATGACAATTGGTTAAACAGTGCTTTACACTTCAACTGCACTGTGTCTTACTAGGGCATTTGGTAACCGCCCATGCACTAACCCCACAAAAATCTTGCCGAGCAGGCCAGCCTTCGGCTGGGAAACTAAAAAATGAATTTGCTCACCTGACCCAGCCAGCTGGTTCACCCTCCCCATTTCACTGAGGTACCACTTTTCAGCAGGCCTAATGGAGAGGCACATAAAACAACAGAGGTAGAGCAAATTCACGCTTGCCCCACCTCCTGTTTTACAACGGTCTATATGCTTGAAGAGATTTTTCTTGAAAGACTTCTCGGAAATGCTGAGTTTAGGGAACAAATGCCTCTCGCTTTACTCAATAGTCAGATTCATTCTGCCCTGCTGGCAAAGCTTTCCCTCCTCACAGAGGGGCTGGCAGGGGGATGTCCATTAAAGGAAGTGGCTTTGTCTCTGTGTCTCAACCTAGCAGGCTGTTACAGATTAAGCTAATGACGCTTGGAAATGCGTATTTTACATCTTCATAAACTAATGCTGGAGAGAACATTTTTACCATCGTGAGACCTCCTACTTTTCTTCCTTGAGTCAATGATATTTTTCTCTCTGCCTTTGAGCACCCCTCGTCCCCCTAACTCTTGATGTACTGCCAGCCCAGCTTCTCTGCCTTCGCATTGTGGTTCTCTTGACCCACCCATGAGAAGGAACTTAGCTCTCAGACCGAGAGCTGGACCACCCTAAGGAATGCCACCCCACTCAGCTGCCTCACTTCCTAGTGAGGTGCTCCCAGTATTTCCTAGTCAAAGAGGACTCGGCCTGTTCTGCCCTGAGCCCTGAGCTGCAGTAGCTGTTACAGACCTGAGCTCTCCAAGCCAGGGAGCCAGGCTTAGGGCTCTGAGGAGCATTCCATGGCCTCTCTACTTTCTTGGGGGCTTGGGAAAGGCACCCTGACTAAGGAGCGTAAGGAAATCAGCTAGGAACAATGACTTTCTCAACCAAACACTTCTGGGGAAACCTGGAAAGTTTCAAGGCCTCTTAGACCCCAGGAAATTTTAAATTAAGAGAGGATGGGGCCAGGGCAAGCAAGAGGTAAAAACTTTTTTGAGAAGTAACCCTGGCACACAGAGAGACGTTGCCTCAGGGGCAAGGAGCCCAGCCTCCTCCTGGGTGAAGTGCCTTGCAAAGCATCAGGCTGAACCTGCAGTCTGATCATTCCCCAGTGGACCATCGGGCTGCTCCGTGAAACACTGAGACATTTCAAGAAAGAAGATCTACCAAGGTGGTCTTGGACACTTACAATTCTGGGTCTGAAAGGTGGTTCTACTTGGCGATGGTTCAGCTGGGTCCAGTCGATTTCCTTAAAGAAAGGATGTCTCAAGATGGCATGCTCGCCACCCTGACTCGGGCTGCCCAAGCGCATAGTGGGGTTCTTGGTCATGAACTGAGAGGGAGAGAAAGAGAGTCAATCATTCAATCCTAGACAATAAGTATGTCACAAGACAGTAGGCATTCGCTCTGGCAGAAGAGCCGATGTGAGGCTTTCTGGCTGATCTGGCTTAACCAGCTGAATTTTCCCATCACAGGCGGCACAGCCACCATGAATCATCCGGTAAAGGCGCAATTTTCCTTTACACATGAGGCGCAAATTGCTCATGTGTATTTATGGCCTTCCCCACTTCCATTTCAGACACGGCAACTAAAATAAAACCGAGGGGCCCGGTTTTCTTTCCTGTAAATACCATGTATATTTTTTTTCCTCTTTAAAGAAAAGAAACGCTTTATAAAATAGTGTGCTTTTCTCCAGCACTGCAGTTGTGGACAGCCGGCATCTTATGAATGGGGCTACTTTTCAGAACAGCTGTGCCATTCTTCTGAGAGACCCCCACCAGCCGGCCAGGATTCCCACTCTCTGACAAGACCACAGAGAGAAGAATGAGAGTCATTTTTCTGAAGAGCTGTGTGAAGAAGCCGCAAGGGTGAAAAACTTAAAGCTCTGTGTTCGGGCTCCAGGAAAAACAAAGTTGGCCGCTTTTATTATGCAACAAAGATATCACAGTTTTGAGTGAAAAGTTTTTTTCTTTGAGATGCTCCCTTCTCTCCTGCCCCTCCATTTTGAAATGTTTCATGACTGAGACTCTTGCCACATAGTCCAAAATTTAAAAGCACTGCCATACAGTCAAGGAATGTGTGTATATAAATCCTCTGTATTTATATCAATTGGGTAACTTCCTCGCAGCTGAGCTCCTTGCACAGAGTGGTCAATAAAGGCATTCTGATCGTATCCTGACCAAAGACAAGTATAGGATAATTCACTTTTCATGGCCAGAATGTCATTTTCAATTTTAAAGACACATAAGCTAATTTCTCATTATCAAAAGAAAATTGCCTTGGATAAAAACTTTTTAAAAACTTAAGTTATCTTTAAATGAATTTATAACAGTCCCCAAGCACCCCTTTCCAAGTCTGATTTATGAACACAAAATTAATGGTGTGTTCATAGAAATGGCTTTGGAGTGGAATTTACACAGTATTTTGGAAAAAATCTTGAAGGTGCACACAAGAAAGCATAGGGTTGGGAGGTGAGCAGCCCTGCCATGTCAGGTGTCCAAAGCTGCAAAACCTCCTGGATTGCTTCAGGTGAACGGGATCAGGTGGAGGGAGGAGGATGCCGAAGTCCCTAAGCAAATCTGACAGGACAGACCTCATAAAATGCTCAAAAAGCTTCCAAGGGGAGCTAGTAAAAACTGAAGACACGGATGGGGTTTAATGGTTTCTCCTCTTTCCTAGAGACAAGGAATGAAAGGCCTGGTGGTGCTGAATTTGGACGTGGAACTCGAAAGTAAAAGCAGCTTTCAGAGCTCCACAGGAGTTAGCACTCTGGGCACGCACGGTGATCAGCGTAGACTTAGGAAATATAGCTCATAAACAACTCCGTTCTGAAAGAGCTAGGCGCTCATGCTGCGTGGGCTCTCCCCAGATAAGTCTGTGCAACTCGTAAAGGCAGGGGATAAGAAATACACAAAAGAAATGAGTAGATTCTCTCCTTAGGAAAGTCAATGGGATACAATCCCCGACGGAATAGCCATGTCTATTCTAAGAGCTAATTAACAAAAAACAAACAATGCTGCAAAAAACTCAAGCTACAAGGACAGCAGAACAGACCCAGATGGCTTGTGGGAAACTCCCAGGCCTGCCAACGGTGCGAGCAGAGGACACCTTGTGAATGTGTGAGTACAACTTGTTCTTCTGGGCAAGAGGAACAGTGTGGGGCCCTTGATGCCAGGGTGGCAGAAGCCCTGGTGTCTGAACAACTTTGCCCATTTTTCCCTGCCCCGGCACGCAAGCCAGCCTCCCAAGGGGCACCGTGGAAAAGCACTGCCCAAGGATCAGGAGACCAAATCGTGGCTGCTCTCCTCTATAAACTTCATCCCTGGGAATGGAGTCAGGCAGAATAACCCTTTCACTAGCTTATGCTTAGAATTCTGATAAATCCTTTCGAATAACCAAGCAGTTTCTTTTTTTTTTCTTTCTT